GATGGAAAACATACCATAACAGATCAGCGGAGAGAACGGGATGTCCTTACCTTGTCTGGTCTCAGTAAAACCCAACAGAACTGCCAGGCCTGAGGAGACACTTGAGCCTGCATCAGCCATTTCTGAGCCAGATTCTTATTCTCGATGTTGGGATCATAATAGAGCTGATGCAGAGCCTGAGAGAAAAACACACACACACACACAAACACAGAGATGGTTTTAGACACTGATACATTGCTCTCTGCCCATTACGGAGCACATGGATACAGACTAATAACGCTTTATTAACCCCAGGGTTCCTGCGGGCCAGTTTAAAAGACATGTATATGAAAGCGTGTGCTGTTAAAGTGGTTCTCCAGGTCTCACAGCTGCTGACGCGTGTAACCCGCACCTTCATTTTCGCAGCTAAAGCATTTCATATAGTTAGAAGGCAGAAAAATGCAGCTTTATTAAATATTTATTCAATAATAAGAGGACATAATCAGCGTTTGGCACAAAATATGTAGTCTCCAAACTAACGTCAGGATTTTAAATACAAATGAATATTTCATTTTAAAAGTATTATTAAACAAAAATAACAACATTTATTTATTCATTTATTCAGCCAAAGCCAAATTTTGAAGCCAAAATGAATAGCCCTCCTGTGAAACTTGTATTGTTTTTCCAATATTTTACAATTGATGTTTAATAGACTAAGAGTATGTTCACAACATTTCCAGCAATTATTTTTTTTTTTTAACTATTTAAAAGGTATTTAAGGTATTATTAGCATCTTTAGGGAAAAAAAACTAGTTTTGATCGTCTACAGAACAAACAACTGTTATCCAATAACTTGCCTTATTTTATATGTACACAACCTGACACAAGGCTTGTCGTCGATTTCAGTTGTAAGAAAAATAATAACTTGACTTTTAGTTGATTTTTCTTATGAATCAACTGTTGAACTGCATCCCAATCATCACAAATACAGCAGAAGACCTTCTGGAACCAGCATAGACGCAAGAGTCTCACTGATATCAGTCAAGTTTGCTGAAGGAAAACTCATGGTTTGCGGTTACATTCAGTATGGTGGCAAGTGAGAGATCGGCAGAGTGGATGGCAACATCAACAGCCTGAGGTATCAGGACATTTGTGCTGCCCATTACATTACAAACCACAGGAGAGGGCAAATTCTCCAGCAGGATAGAGCTCCTTTTTATACTTCAGCCTTCACATCAAAGCTCCTGAAAGCAAAACAAGGTCAAGGTGCTCCAGGATTGGCCAGCCCACTCACCAAATATGAACATTATTGAGCATGTGTGGGGTAAGATGAAGGAGGCTGCATTGAAGATGAATCCAGAGCATCTTGATGAACTCTGGGAGTCCTGCAAGAACACTTTCTTTGCCATTCCAGATGACTTTATTAATCAGTGATTTGAGTCAGTGCAGAGATGTATGGATGCAGTCCTCCAAGCTCATGATGGAGTCAGACACAATATTCATTCTGTTTCCACTGCAGCAGGACTTTATATTCTATACTGGACATTATTTCTGTTCATCACAAGACTTTTGTCTAAGCAAAGTCAGACCTTACTGTCTTAATTAAATCAATAAAAATCAAGGCATGATCATATTTTATTGTGATAAAATAAGCTAATCTAGAGGCCTTTATCTTTCATATACGCCACTTCTGATACCAAATGATCAACTAGAAGTCAAGTTATTATAATAATAAGTAAAAGAATGACACAAAGTAGATGCATAATGAACAAAAATGCTGCATTTATTTGATTTAAAAAAGATTATATGTAAAAAGCAGTGTGAAATAATGTTACTCTTCTATTTCAATAGATATTTTTGTTATTTATTCTGTTTTATAAATGTTTGTATAAATGAGAACAAAATAAAATAAAATCACTGATACATTTACATTATTAACTAAAACTAAAACGATGACTAAAACATCTATAGCTCCTTTCACACAGTGACACCGGTAAATATCCTAAAGATTTCCGGAACAACTTTACCGTTAAATTAAAAAAAAAGGGCTGTTCACACAGGCAAGAACGTTCCGGAATTTTTCCTGGAAAAAGACTATTCACACATCCATTCCAAACTACCGGTAAATTCTGACATCATTAACCAGAAATGAGCTCTAAATGGCTGCTCTTGTGTTTGTAAACATTTGACTACATCACAAACTCTGTGGATGGATCAGTATTGAGAACAACTTCGATAAAAACATATAGAGGAACACTTTCGTATGTCGAGATGTTCATAATATGCGTGTGTGTGCTGGCGCTCACTTGCTGCTTGACGTGCACATGCGTCAAGCATCTGAATCAGAGCTTGAAGGTAAACAAACAGTGGTTTACCATAAGCATTGTATCGATCATTATTTACACAATTGGCATTAAGAAGGAGCATAGAAATTTTATCTGACTAACATCTAACAGCTAAATGTGTCTGGAAAAAAATATTCAAAAGCTTTTGTTTTCATGAACAGCGCAGACATGAATGCGTTTGAATGCTCTGATTGGCTGGAGTAGACGTCTCACGCCAGCGCATTCCAAGCGTGAACGCGCTCTTTACGACAATCCTCCTTTTGCGTTCACACAGCGCAGCATTCCGGCAAATTACCGGTAATGTTACAACTTCTCTTTCCGGAAAATAGGCCGAACGAATTTCTAGGTATTTTCAAATAGAGCCTGTTCACACATACAACCTTTCTTTTTTAAATTGTCAGTAATTTTCCAGAAAGGTCTGTATGAGTGAAATGAGCTACCAATTAATAAATATATCTATTTATATCTATCTCTAGTAAATACACAGACAAATACTAAATAAATACTAAGCAAATACAGTTAACAAATTGTTTTTATGATTTAGTCTAAACACTTCAATCATACAAGACCAAAAAATATCTAAAAAGAAATCAAGGCAGAGTATTGATAAATTATACTTATGTGTGTCAGATATATTAAAACCCCCCTGTGAGAAACCCCCATCTGTCAGAGTAAACCAGGTGACAATTCGAACCCAACTGTGTGTGGTCAGATCTGAGAGGCATCAGCCGTAAACCCTTTGCACAAAGCAAGCCGGGATAAAAATAAACATGGTACAACTGCACACGGATGTATCTTTTGAAATGAGTTTCTATGGCAACTGTCTCTTCTGCACAAACTCATTCTTAAAGACCAGCGCTGAATGACTTCGGTCCATTGACATGATGGTTACCGCATCCCATCCTGTCTGTGAGTGTGTGTGTGTGAGAGTTTCCCTCATGCTGTATGATCCATTTTACTCAGACGTCTATTAATCGCTCGTTTATTCTGACTCTTATGAGCTTCTACGCTGCAAGCACTGTCTGCATTTCACTCTGAGTGTAAAGTCTGCTACATTAAGGAGTATAACTGCTTATTAAGGGTGTTTTAATACTAACCATTTGAGTAATACGCAAGTGATAAAGTACATTCAGGAGTTTGCAATCATTGAATAAAGCCTGACAGGTTTATTGGTATTAGGGATGTCATGATACAACATTTTAACTTCCGATACGATACCGATATAGTCACGTTCAGTACGAACCAATACCGATATTAATCCGATATTAGCACAAATTATGAATACTTTAGTTTTACCTATTTCGTTGAGTCGAATGTATAAACGGCTAGATCAATCTGAGAACAAAAGTCAGCAACCATAAGTATGAAAAAAAAACAACCAGTTTATTAACTATTGGTTGCATAAATGTGAACCTTAAAGAATAAATATGAAGATCCTGAAAAATATCCTAATTGAATAAATAAAAATACATTTTCAAAGTGCAAAATAGTAATTAAAGGTCACTTCAGTTATTTATTTTTTACCGTCAGCAAATGGCGAGTCTGTGGCGGAGACTTTTCTCACGCACACAGAACTGGGCCGCTGAGGTAAAGTCTAATGTGTGGAAAGCGCTGGTGTTGAATAAGGTATCAAACTGAATGAACCACGATATGCCATGACCGAATTGAGGCTCGCATGATGTGTGCTACGTCGCCATTCGGTGCCTTATGTTGCTTAGCAGCGTAATGTTATACAAAATAATGTAGAGACCTCTTGACGTGAAGTAAATAAACCAGTAACGTTAGAGATGTGCCGTTGTTGCTAGCGTCAGCGTGTGCTACCGTCACAATAGATTTGTATTGTATTACACCATAACTTAGTGTGAAGAGCATGTTAAATCTTAGAGACTTTGCTAGCAAGCAGTGTTGTGATCACGTGGGCTTTGCACGCTGGCTCTGGACGCTGCTGGATAGAATAGCTGTAATGGAGTTTAGAGCGTATCGGACTGCTTATATCGGAGATTTTTAACGCAGTCTGATATAGTTTTTTGGACTGAAATCGGACGAATTTCCGATATCAATATCGGATCGGGACATCCCTAATCGGTATAATTCAGGAAGCAGAGACAGTCAAATATAGCTATAGTGGGAGTCTTTAAATTTATATTTTACAGACATAACGTCCCTAAATACACATTGGTAGAGATAACTTGATGTAAAGTGTGTTGCTATTCAAAATTGTTTGATAAAAGTTTTAATTTTGATAACAATAGGCTTATATGCAAGATGCAAAATGTAACTGCAATTCTAGAATCAACGATAGATGGAGATCCTGTTTCGCCGGGAGCTCCACAGGGTCAATATACTTGGCCGGACTGCTGTAGACACACCTTTGGTCACTTGTGCCAACAACAAACGTTGGTTTCAATGGTGCCAGCAGCGAAGATCTTGAGCTGTGGACAATGTGCAACATGTATTGTTCTCTGATGAGTCCAACTTCACTGTCTTTCCCACATCCAAGAGAGTGATGGTGTGGAGAAGCCCCAAAGATGCGAATCACTGTTGTTGCTCAGAGTGATGCATGGGGGTGAATCAGATGGTTTGAGCTGCAATATCATGGCATTCCCTAGGTCTAGTATTTGTGCTAGATGGACTATTAAAGCATTCTGTAGGACCAAGTGGTTTAAATATTATATCCTGAAGGCAGTCTGGATGAAAATCCACCAATACACACAGCAGGAATGGTGACAGAGTGGTTTGACAAACGCATGGTTTAACGCATGTGTATCCCAAATGCGGTGCTGTGTATCTGGATGATAAGGCACCAAACCAAACAGCATGGATGGATGGATGGATGGACAAACGGATGGAAA